TCAATTGCATTTATTTTTGTGCTCATGATTACTGGGGTTTTTTTTTTGTTTCAATTTTTATGTCATTGTGCCCCTGAGAAAATTTTCTGTGGCAATTTTCAAAGATTTCTCTTTATATTCACTTTTGATTAGTTTGAGTATGAGATGCTCAGGTGTGTGTTGCTGTTTCTTGCTGTGAACTTTCTGGGCATTTTTCAGTCTGCACCTTTTAATGGAATTCATCATATTTTGGAGTACTTTTGTTGTTCACAGTGTTTTTCTGTCCCGTTCTCTTTTTCTTCTACCAGGACTCCAATTACACATGTATCAGACTGCTAAACATTTACCACAGTCCACTAAAGATTAATTGATTGATATTGTTATCTTTTATTGTTCTGAATGCATAATTTATATTTCTGTTCTTAGATTCACTGATACTTTTCTCTTCCACTTCCAACTTGACATTCAGAGCACTTTGTGAATTGTTTGCTTTAATGCTGTAGATTTTTTGGGGGGGCGTTTTTTTGTTTTTTTTCTGGTATCAGGAATTGAACTCACGACCTTGCGCTTGCCAGGCAGGCGCTGTGCTGCTGAGCTAAATCCCCAGCCCCAATACTGTAGTTTTCAGTAACAGAACTTTCTATTTCTTTTTCTTTTTTTGCTGCCTGGCTTGTCCTCAGTTTTCCTGTTATTGCCATATTTTCTTCTAAGTCAGGGATAAGGTGTGGTAATAACTGGTTGAAAGTCTTCACGTGCCATCTGATCTTTTCCTTGTGTGCTATGTTGGGTGGGATACTGGAAAGCCTAGACCGTGTTACATTCCCAAGATACAGACTTTTCCCCCTTATTTCCCCCTAACAATGAATGACTTTCACCTTGATATTGTGCAAGTTAATTTTACATTGTACAACTGCCTGAGGAGGAATACTTAGTCCTGACATATGGTCTTCTCAGCTTTTTGTGGGTTGTAATACAAAGGCTGATGTGCTTGCTTAGGACCTCTGATTTGGTCAAGCTCAACATAGGGCATTTTAAGTCCTCCAGCCCCAACAGCTTTGTGCTGGGCTCTTTGAAAATTTTACACACAAATGGAGCTTAGCGGTTGTCCACAGAAAGGACCGCGGCTTGTACAGACCTGGGGAGAGGCGCTCCTTCCTTTCCATGAACCTTTGCCCCCATTCCAGCTTTCATTCCCGCTAGCACGCACTTTCCAGCTGCGGAGCACCCTCGGCGGAGAGGCCGTGCAGAAATGTCCTTCAGTGTCTCCTTTCTCTTTGTCCTTCTTATATACAGTCAAATAGTTTATTTGTACTTTTAGGGGTTTATAATTATCAGAAATGTAAGTGCTAATAAAATATAATTTTTATCACTCCTGGAGCTAGAACTCCCTCCATGCTCTACTTCCAAGCTGTAAAATCATTTATGTGCTCAGAATGACTTCCTTTGTACCACACAGCGGATGCCAGGTTGAAAAAGCAATCGAAAAGCAAGACTATAATTCACAAGATAAGAGCTTCCTTGACTTACCACATTGCTGATTTATTTATTTTTATTTTGTTTTCTAGTATTTGCCTACAGAATGTTAAAGTTTTTATCAGTCATTTCCCTGTGGCCTCCAGTTAACATTTTCACTTCAGAGGCAAATGGTGATGGTTCGGACATGAGTCTGAGAGAAAAAAGACTCAGGCAGAAAGAAAAAGAGATGTAGCAAAAGCAGAAATAGACACAAAATGAATGGGGAGAAGAGAGGAAAAGGAGGAGGGGTGAGAGGAAGCTAGCAGAGAAGCAGCTCTAGGGATTGTCTTGTATTGCTGCAGTATCTTAGTGATTTATAAAATTAGAGTAGACGGCCGGTGGAACGGTTACTAGACTGTGTGGTTAGTAGAATAATCAAAGTGCGTTTTGCATCAGTTTTGTGCAGCACTATCTGAAAAGTTCGGAATAAGCCGGTGCTAAAGTTCTGTCAGTTCAGTTCATGGTTCTCTGTGTTGCGCCTCTCCGAAAAGGCAGCGGGTTTGTGTGTTCTTCCTGCTGAGGGACGCGGGTAAGGACCAGGAGAAGGACATAGGTACAAAGTGCAGTACAGAAGGTTCGCGCGCGTTAGCACAGTAAGTACTTCTGGAATCCTCCGCAGCCCATCGTTTTCTATTTCGTGGGTGAAACAGAAAGAAAAAGCTGCACTCATTCTCAAGGAGCTTACGGTGAAGTGGAAAACACTGCAGATTTCCCACATTTTGAGGCTTCCGCTGATAGCGAACTAAGAGCTAAGATGGTAGAGGAAAAGGCTGACTTTTTCTGTATTTTAGGACAAAAGAAAGGGATACAAGAAGAATCCATGAGAAGACTGCAAGAGCTGGGCCTCAGAATAAGGGCAAGCCAGAAGCAGACTGGGCCCCAACCTAGTGCAACCCCTGATGGAGCTGGGGAACTGCCCTCAAACTGTTTGTTTAGCGGGGGTAGGGGATGACTTTATGCACAGTAAGATTGTATGAAACCTCTACAGCGCTTTTATACCTGATATAAGAAAAGTTACAAGCGATTGGCTATGCAAAGAGAAATAAAATACAGTCAGTAATAAGGAGGAAAGGTAGACAGCACAGCAGATGAATGGGGGGTGGCTATTATACTTAACAGATGAAATTAGAATTATTCTAATATACTAAATGAAGCTCAAGATGATCTAAAGAGTTGAGTGGAATAGAGAATTGAAATGCATTTAAAGATTTTAAAATCAAGTTGACAATTTGAAACTGAAAAATGTAATATTATGCACTTAATCTTTAGTGGGTGGATTTAACAGTAGTTCAGTCACTGAAGAACCGAAGGGAAGTAAATTGGAATCAGGTCAATAGGAAATGCCCAGACCAGGAGCCAGGTGTGGTGGCACACGCCTGTGATTCCAGCACTCGGGAGGCTGAGGCAGGAGGATTGTTGTGCATTCAAGACCAGCCTGGGCTATAAAGTGAGCTCAAGGCCAGCCTGAACTGCGTAGCGAGACCGTGTCTCACAAAGATCAAAAAAAAAAAAAAAAGGAAAAGAAAAAGAAAACAAAACATGCAGACCAAAGCACATGGAGGAGAAAGAATTATTAAGGGAAGAAAGGAAGTATGAGCATACGAGATTTGTGTAACATGCGCAAAGTCTAAGTTATATTTAATGGAAATCCCAAGGGGAGCAAAGAGCCAGGTGTCCATCAGCAGGCAAACAGCCAGATGAACAGTGGTTTACTCCTACAACTGCAAGTGTCGTTACACATGCATGTCGTGAGCACAAGGGTGAGTTTCAGTAAAAGAAACACTCCAGTCAGTACATGTGATGTTACTCCATTTATATATAAATTACATAAACTGTTCTGTGGAAATTCAGGTTAACCTTTGCAGGGCCAGTAGTGACTATGACAGACTATAATGCTCTGCAGTGACTGTTGCCTAAGCTCATTAAATAACTGCATATATATTCACCTACATGCACATATGTGTGTGCATATAGACACACATACACCTGTATGTACCCACGAGTACATATGTATACAGTATATGTATAAATGTGTATTTTAATGTTTTATATCTATATCTGAAAAAATATACATGAAAATGAAGTTATTTTCCTACAGTGTGCAATTTTAGTACAAGATAGAAAATATTTATGTGATAATACATTATAACTCAGTGTTTCATTTACATTTTAACATTTCTGTGTCATAATATATTACCATATATTAGAGGAGCTCACCACATTGGCAGATTTGAGGTTGCTCTTCTGCCACAGAATGAAGATAGAGGTTGTAGTGTAAGCTAAGTTAAGCATTTTAAATCACAAATTAAATTCAGCTTGCGCTTGTTGTAATGAACATTCACATTTGAACAGGCCGCATGGCTTTACCTCACCGGACATATCTCATGTCTGTTACAACGCTTTTTCTAACAAAGTTGTGATTTTTAGAAAACGAGTGAAGTAATTCCATAAAGTGTAGAGACACTTGTAGTGGAAAATGGTATGCTCTACCCCAGTTTATTAACCAAGAGGCAAATCCGATATGACTTAAGTTTGTAAAAGTATGACTAGGAACTATATGGCAATGCTGTTGTGAACCTTACTGTAGTATTCCTACATTACTGTAGTCCCTGTTTTGCTTATAAAAGAGAAGAATGGAAGAGAAGAAAGGAATGGAGAGAAGAAAGAAGGGAAGAACGAGAGATGGAGGGAGGAAAGGCAGGGAGAAGGGAGGGACGGGAGGGGAGAGGATATGCTGATGCGGTCTTGTTAATACACTTATTATTTGTCAATCAAGAAACTTACCTGTGTAATAAGAAAACCTGATTTCCATTCTTAAAGGGTGGTGCCCAGGCATTTGTAGAGCCCCAGCAGCCAGGAAGGCATTGGCTTTGAAACTCCTGGCCCCCAAAGCACCACCTGTTAACACAGGCTGGAAGCCCCTTCCCCAGGTTCTCTGCCCCTATCGGAGGCAGGCTGATACTCCTGGTGTGGTGAGAACCATCCTGTCAGAGCCATTCTGGCTTCTCCTGACCATCATGTTCTGTCATGAACCAAGACTTTATAATCTGGTGTTAGATTTATTTGCTAAAACAATCCATAAACATAGACACAGGTCATCGGTTCACCTGCGATGCATGGTGGGGAACGCCAGAGGGGCAAAGAGCTTCAAGAAACTCCCACCGAGCATTTTTGCAGAAAATGTTTTCCTGGAATGAAAACATTGACTATCAAATGACAATAATTACTTCTCTGAGAGTAGATCGAGAAACAACCCAGCTGTGACTTTAAAATAAGTATATGAGGACCGTTTTCCAAACCATTTATTATTATTTTTCCCTTATTGTGTATGAATGCCACAGCTGGTGTTTCCTGGATTGTGTTCCGTAAGCCACAACTCACGGGTGTGGATTTGTCAGCCCTGGGAAGGAGCCTATAATACATTTCCTTCTCAAGAGACACATGACTTTGAGCCTTCAAGTTTTCAGTTCACGTGTCAGTAGGATGTTGATGTCATTGTCTTGTAGGACTGCTTCAAAACATGTGAACAAGGACCTGGGTAACATAGAGGAAAACAAAAAGTTAGAAGAAAACAATCACAAAACAGAAGCCTAAGAGAGAAAGCGTCGATGCTGTCCAGGTAAGTGGGCGGGACGCGGTTCACAGACCTGATTCCCGGGAACATGGGGAGCCTCTTTGGAGATGAAAGGGAAAACTGGGACTCCAGGGGCTTTATAATTCCAGCTTCCAAAACAGGGAGGGAGGTTTTTCAGAGGGAGCTCTGATGACTCAGATAGCGCTCTCAGAAGAACGGAATTTCTCATCTCTTTGCCTCCCCAAAGTAATCATCTGAGTAATAAAAGTCATTTTTGAGATTTTAGCATCCAATTTTCATTTTGTTTGCTAAGGCCAAAAATTTCTCTGAGTAGAAAGAAATGAAGAAAATTTATATTATGAATTGGTATCTGGCTTCAGTAAGAATAGACTCTTCTTTTTCAGTGGCCATTTTTAAATTTCTTTCTTTTAATTTTCAGTCAAAGTCTCATGAACTTGCCCTTTTGGAACTCAAACTTGCCTTCCTCTTGCCTCAGCCTCCCTCAGAGCTGGGATTTCAAATTTATTTTTAAAACAGTTGGGATAATTTTTAAAGTAAAAGTCCTTTAAGAAAGGGGTAGATGTGAGTGTGTTTGCACTACTACCTTCCAAATCATTTTAGAGAGCAGGCTGACACACTAGTGCGTGTGTTTACGGACACACACTTCCTTGGGAAGTATATGCATATGCGTGTGTGTACCTGTGATCAAAACTATGTGAATATTTCAGTTGTTAAAAATGTATTTCAGTAAGAGATCCATTACCATTAATCACCGCCAAACACTCCCTATCTCCTCGAACACACCCTATTTTTACTGCACTTCTGAAGCATTTCCGGAAGTCTTTTGTGTCTTTGAGAAGTGTGACCAAAAGTACCTTGAATGCAGATGCTACTTTTACTGTAATAAAGTTTTTAAAATTTGACATTCATTCTATATTTTGATCTCTCCTATATGCAAATATCTATGTGCATGTAAATATATATAATATACGTGCAAATGTTGCATAGATTATGTATATTTATATGTAACAGTTTTATTTGTGTGATTTTTTTTTTTAAAGAAAACCCCCAAAATTTGCATGATTCCATGGCCTTGCCAGTTGCAATTTGAGCTCCTGTTTGTGTTCCCTTAGGCCAAGCAGAGGAGCAGTTTGGATTAATTACTTTGTCCTTGAAAAATAACTTACTGTAGAGTGGGGTAGAAAAGCCCCAACAACTGCTTTACACCTTGAGCGCCTCGTACATAAGCCACAAGTCACAATCTGAGTGGGTCATCCAAGTTAATCTCACAGTACTAATCGGGGATGTAGGAAAGACTCGCATTTGAAAGGATGTACACAGGGCAGAAAAAGAGAACAATTAAAATGAAGTCTATCTTTTAAATCTCCAAATCAAGATCTTAAGCTGGATCCAAAGAAAGTGTCAGAACTGGGTCTGTTCTCCTGTTCTGCCTCCCCCGGGGGCCAAGTGTCCAGCGTCCTCACACTTTCCCGTCTCCAGGGTTTGTTCCTTAGCCCTTTGCAAATGCAGACTTTACCTTCTGATTTCATCAAAACTGGGTTGAATGATTTCTCCAGAAAAATGAATTTAAAAGTAAATCCCGTGAACAGAATATGGTTTGGAGGGAGGAGTGTATTTTATAAATTGAAGAAAATGGAATGAAACATTTTCCAAAACACCTTATATAGATCATATGATGATCTAACCAATGTTAAAAGAAAAAACAATTCCAAAAAATATTTGTGCAAGTGATTAGTAATGGCTGGGTTTATGGTGGGGAGAGGGAGGATAATAGGAGATTTCTCCCATGAAGTAAGACCTATCACTTTTAGTACAAAGCATCTGTTGTTGGTGGAAAATGATTGCTATGGTAACTTAATTATATTTTTTCATCATTTCACAGAAAAAACTATATAAACCAATTGAAGCATGAACGTGGATTGTATTTAAGATATAAACAAAGACATTGACAGCACTTCATGGTTCAAGTATTAAACAGTTCATTCTACCAAGCTGTCACAGAATTTTAGAGAATTATCTCAAGTAAAACAATGAAATGAAATTTTAAAAAATAACAAGTTTGGCAGCCATGATAGTAGGTCATACGTTGTGTTTGGTTTGAATTATTTTCTGTAAATGTCTGCACTGAGGATTTCTTTTTGGTTTGCCTTTTATGTAAATTTTTTACGTAGCTATTTTTATACACTGTAAGCTTTGTTCTGGGAGTTGCTGTTAATCTGATGTATAATGTAATGTTTTTATTTCAATTGTTTATATGGATAATCTGAACAGGTACATTTCTGATTCTGATTGCTATCGGCAATGCCCCGAACTTTCTCACAAGCACCTAAAACCCAAAGGTAGCAGCTTGTGAAGATCAGGACACACACACTGCCCTACTCAGAAACTGATTTTTATCACAAGTGAGGGAGAGGCTGACAGATTGATGAGCGGTGCCTGAACTGATTGTGTGTCTGCCGGCAGTTGGCTAACAAATCCAGACGCACACGGACGCACGTGCACGATAGCACTACACTCCCACACTGACACTCTGCCTTTTCTGAAAAAGACCTAACACAGAATTTGGGTAACACTTATCTTTAGATACCTGTTAGTACATTGTTTTTCGTGAATGGACAAAACAAACCTACGTGTGAGAGACGGTCTGGAAAAATCATGAGTAACGTTCCCATTTTCACAATCACGATATAAATCACCGTAATTAAAAATTGGTCTTAAATCCTTTGGGTTATCCACTGCCTTAAAATTATACCTGTTTCCTTTTCAAAAAGGGTATCAGTCAGAATTGGAGATTTTTAACAGTGGTCATTAATTCAAAGCTGTGTTATTTTCCACAGAATATAGAATATATATTTTTTTCGTGTGTGTTTTTGTTAACTACGCTACAGATATTGAATGCACCTTGAGATAATTTAGTGTTTTTAACTGGTACATAATTTATCAAACAGTACATGAGAGTGTAATAATAAAATGTCTATGTATCTTTAGTTACATTCAGATTTGTAACTTTATAAACATGTTTTATGCTTGAGGACTTTTTAAGGTGGTAGTATAAATGGCGACTTTTTGAAGTAGACTGGATATGGTCCAATAGCTCCTTGTGACTAGACTTCTAAACTTCGCTCTTTCAGGCAGATGCCTGGTTTCTGGGAGAATACTGCACAGCCATTTTTGTCCCAGAACTTATATAACTTTAACTGAAAAAAAATGAACATTAGATTTCCAGTTACAGAACCATGTTCTTTGAGAGGAAAACTGGTGTTTGTTTTTTAGACTCATGGAATAAAAATGTATGAAGGCAATGAATAATTAATTGAAGATTAAACCCAGATGGAGATTAGGGAAACTGTTTTGCCACTTCTACATTATTTAGAAACACACGTTATTGTACATTTGTGAACAATTTATTGTCTGAGCGATAGTGACTCAGTTTAATAAAAGCTTCCTGTAGTGCATTGGTATGGATTAAATACATAAAATATTCTATTAGACTCAATGCTGTATAAAACATTATGGGAAAAGAGAAAATATATTATTTTGCCTCTAAACTTTGATTTATTGAAGTTTTATTTGGCAGGAAAAAAAATTGAATCATGGTCAATATTGAAACCAAAGTAAAAGGGGAAAAACCAAAGTTACCGTTTTGCATGGCTAAGCCATTCTGTTATCTCTGTAAATACTGTGGTCTGTTTTTTTCTCTTTAGAATTTTGTTAAAGAAATTCTAAAAGTTTTAAACACCTGCTTTCCACAATAAATCATGAACACTAACGTGAAATTAGATTACTTCCATATTAATTTTATTTTCTTCTTTTCATTTGCTGTGGGAGATCAAAAGTTTAAAGTTCTACTCCTAAGATATGTTTGCAGAAAGAAGCAACAGGGCGATAGAAAGACAGGGTTATACTACGGTTACAGATTTCCTTCGTTTGCAGTGCTTAACTAAGTCCCCAAAACAGTTGTCAGAACCTAGAAAGAAATCCAGAGCTCTGGACCAAGAGCAGAAATTTTCCAGAAGGAGGGACGGCATTATTCTCATTGAATCAGTGCCGGATAAAGAGGAATGCGTGCTTGCTAAGGGCAACCGTGTGCACCGCGGTACCAGGAGGAAGATAATTCAGTCTTCAACTTCTGAGGTTTTGTATCTCCAGTTTAACTCTTTGGCAAAGGAGACAGGCTTTGCCAGTTCAAGGTTCGCTCCCTATATGTGACTATAGAACTTGTATGTGGAAATGGATTAACATATCCGTCTATGCCTAAAAGATAATAAAAATGAAATATGTCTTCACATAATCTCTCACGGCTCTCCTGTCTTGTCTACGATAGGATGTTCGTTTATAGAACGTGATTATTTATAATAAAGAGTGCAAACCCGGCTGTGCGTGTCCTTCCCCCTGCAGAGGGAATGCAGAAGTATCAAACCTCCCCAGCCTGCTTGCTGTGTCAGCTCGGCTTACCTTTGCTCACTCCCAGCTTTCACCAGGAGCTGGTTTGATAGCGTCTCCGGCGATAGGATCACTCTTACCGTGAGCGCCCTGTGCCACTGCGCAAGGAACTTCACAGAGAAGACATTTTCATATTCCTTCACCACCGCCAACCGCGCACCTCTCAGATCACCATGTGGAATTCCCTGTGCGTGAACCTCCTGAGAAATGCGCTCCCTTCAGAGCAAGATAAAGTTAGCTGTGTACATCAGAGGTGGACATTTCTGAGCCCACACCACGTGCCAGGCACATCCATATTTTATTTAATCATTAAAAGTTGCAAATAGTACTAAACACCCTTCACTCCACAGCTGAAAACCCAGCTTCATATCCCCACGGCACACGTGACTGGAGTTCATGCGTTGGGTATCAAACCAGATCTTACTCCTTGCCCCCGTCAGACATAGGCCCAACATTCCTCTAGTGAAACACTCCTTTTCCTAATTTAAAAAGCTAGAAAATATGATACGATGCACGAGCTGGCTTACCATAGAGAAAAGCTTGTTCCAAAATACTTAAATTATATAATAAAATAATATTGTATAATTTTAAGTTATATGTGGATTAAATGTATTGCACACTTAATTAGAATATATTTACATTCTATATCATTTTAAACACACATACTTTGTATCATACATTAAGTGCCTACAATGAGACAAACACTATATTAATGTATTATTTACATCATTTCATATTATTTCTCTCAGTATCCTGGTAGAGAAGATGATATCCCCATTCCACAGGTGAAGAAGATGCAGACAGCTTGTCACAGGTACAGGAGAGCTAAGGGGTGACTTATGCCTCACTTTCAAAGTTTAGGCTGTGTTCATTTCATTGCTTGTTGTCCCTATTACAAAAGGGCTATGCTCGGGAACGACCTCAAAGAAGATAGACTAGCACTGGATAAGCTACTCATTCTTCTGCTAACTAATGGCATTCATATTCAAGGTAATGTGATAGTAAAGATTTGGAAATTACTTCAAAAATAATTATTATATAAATGTTAGTTGCCTTTTTAATTCTGTGTCTGAGGAATCAAATGCAAACTAACACTACCGTTTCGGAAATCACTGCACTATGTTGGGCTTTGCAGCAATCATATTATCACAATAGAAAGTTCTTCCATTAAATGTGTATTTCTTATCTAGACTTGTTAATGCAATTATTTGAAAATTGCACTGCAACAGAGAAACCTGAAGACAGAAAACTTGAACTCATTTTCCCATAGCACTGTGTCTTCATCCATCCATCACCTTCACTCGGATCTACATTTTCCCCAAACGCTGTATCCATTTCTCATTAATGCTTCTCACAGGGAGAAATATTCATTGGAAAATGAATAGATAGGGACAGTGTCCCCCCAGCAGACCCCATTATTGAGTTCTCTGCCCTGTCTCTTTTTATTAGCCATCTCTGGGGAGTTTTACTTGTAATGGCTAAGCAGCAGAATGGGAGAAAAGCTCTGTGATTAAATACATAGATCCATGCACACACACGTAAACTGATCGGTAACACAGGCTGAGCACAAAGGGACATTTTATCCCATTTTCCTGGGCAAAAGGACAGAGGATTTGCATGGCGGAAAAGCTGACGTGTGGAATATTTACCCTGGTGTGTGGGAGGCATGGCTAAGTCTAACAGGGAGAAGAGAGCAGCAGCTGAAGTGACCCTGGGTGAGGCACCCTCATTCCATGAACTGTAACAACCAAGAAACAGACAGGGCCACCTTCACAGCAAAACAAGTTTCTAGGTTCTTTAAGAAACATATCATCAGAACATAGAACATACAGTTTCCAGGAAGGGTAGCTTCTGAGAAAAGTATGCCTTTAGGAAGGGTCACACCTTGATCTGGACTCTTTGGGTGCTGTGTAGTCAAAGCGTGAACTCTTCCCACGAACACTCTCTTTGGGTACTGCTTTCCAAGGCAAGCCAGGTGAAAGCTGACCTTCAATTAGCAGTTTAAACTGAATGCCTGGTTCACATAAGAGTTGAGTTCATTTGCACGGATATAACAGTTGGAATGTAGACACCCCTGTAAAGTTTTTTGGATTCTGATCAGTAAATAAGGAAAACCAAATTATCCATTAAAGAAGATAGTTACTGCTTAAAACTTGGCTCACAGCATTTTCCCTGGAATGACTTACTAAGGAAATGGAATATTTCTATTAAGAAAAGATTTATATCTAAGAAGTAAAAAATTTCTTACCGACACCCAAGTTTCTTCTGAAATTTGGGGCTTCTACAGTATTGGTAATAACAAGTCAGTTCATTTTTCTTTCTTTTTTTTTTGCTTTACTGGGAATTGAACCCAGGACCTTAACATGGAGTACATCTCTTCCTCTGTTTTATTCTTTCAGACACACCTCACTAAATCACTAAGTTTTTGTCCAGACTGGGCTCTTACTGGTGATCCTCCTGCCTCAGCCTCCCAGAGTACGGGCAAGTTGTGCTGTCATGCCTGTCTCAGTTCCTTATTCATTGCTTGAAGAGTATTGTCTACTCCAAGTTTTTAAAGAGCCTACTATGGAAAAACAATCATGACGTTATTAAATACGATTTCAATGGGAAAACCAATATTTTAAGCATTCACAGGTTTATTTACAGAAAAAAATTCTTACAATTTTTCTTACTTTAAAGAGCTCGGTTTTTCATCCTGAATAGATGCTGACCAGCCGTGTAAAAGATGATGCGTTCTTGGTGACAGTGGCAACAGCATCACACAAACGACTGATCTGCGCCCCCCATGTTCCTAACGGTGAATCTGTTTTCAGAGGAATGTGATTAAAAGGGTGCGTGCAGTGGTGGTGTGCAATCATTCTGTCATTTGTTTGGTGTCCTTGAAAGCAATAACATAAGTAAAATATCAAACGTATATGTCACAGCTTCACCACAGCACTCGTTACAGCTCTGTTGTCCTGATCCCAGTAATGGATGTGATCGATATTCAAAGAACTGAGTAGATCTGAAAGCAGTGCTTGCTTTACAGGGTTCCTGTAGCACAGAAGGAGTGAATTTCATATTGGTGCTGTTAATAGTGTTCGTTGCTCCCCAGCACCATGCTAAGATCCCAGAGCTCTGGGTTGGTTTAGCTCTATTATCTTGCCCACCCTCTGTTATCAGAGGTAGGATGGGAATATGTGAGTAAGTTGGGAAGACGAAGTTTGATTCTCAGCTTCTCATTTAAAATGACTTTTCCAAGCTTTCGTTTCAATGGAGAACTCATGGTTGGGAGCAAAGTCAAATGGGCTTGACCAAAACAGTTTGTATTGCACTTTAGGGATGAAAAACCAAACCGGACAGCCGAGGTACAGAAACTCGGATGAACACCGTGTGCTGTTCAGTTACGGCTTGGTGCGTCCTGGGATGTGAAGCGCGTGCATTTATAGCTGCAGTTTGAGGAGCTTTGGCTGTGAGATGCCTGTGTGTGCTGAAGCGGGCAGCTGTCCTCAGCACCAGTCCACACAGGCTTTGCTTCTATCCCCGGAAGAAGCCACTGCAGGATAAGTCATTCCTCCCCGCCCCCATGCATGTGTCAGAAGATGCCTAATTAGGCATCTTTTGCAAAGTCATCTTCTTTATAACCCAGTTGTTGACTTCGTTTTCTGAGTCTTTGTGCTATCCAGCGTCCATCCTCTTTACAGTGTGACTTTACAGGTCCTCCTGTGAGAGGATAAGAGCGTATTTCCCCCGTGCTTGTCACAAGATTGGACGGTGTCATTTTCCTGAACCAATAAAATCATGTGCGTGGGACATGATTTTAAAACTAGCAAACTGATTGTGCTAGTTTTAAATCTAGGCTTCGACCAGCTACCATGTTTCTTCTTGCCCTTTTCTACTTCTGTCCTCACCACGGAAAGGACAAACGAAGCAGGCCGGGGCCAAGAGGGCGGGACACAGCACCACTTGTACCAAGTTAGAGCAGAGCTCCAGGCCGACCTCAGCCACACGAGACCCCCAGCCAAGGTCACCTGCGCCTAGTCCAGACCAAGTCTCGCAGATGACCGCGGATGACCACGGAATCACATTAATACCTGATGGTCGCTCTAGGCCACCGTGGTTTTGAGTTGTTACTCCACCACCGCTAACTCGTACACGCTTTTGCTTCTAAGCTCGGATAATACAGGAACAACCACTTCACAGCTGAGGAGCATTTCATTCACGTCCCCGTGATCAATCCTGTAGTGCTTTCAGAACATTCTCCTTTCCCTGAAATTTCTGGGACTGACATTTACTACCTGGGTCGTCCCCCACAATGTGCTAGTAAATACACTCTGGTAGGAGCATTATAGTAACACCTGCTGACTGCTTAGAAGTCTGGGAGTATATAAATCCTGTGCAAGTCTGTTGGCAGCCTGAGTGTGGTATGTCCTGCCTCACTCTGGCCTGCGTTTGTCCTTTTACAGGGTTCCAAAAGTTCACCGTTGAAGACAGATTTGTATAATTGCACCCTCTCTAATGCCCACCTAATTACACATCAATACCTTCCCTCAAATTAGAAATTATGTTCGGCTTAGATATTCCGCTCACGACACACTCCTCGTTAAATGTCAGAGTCTCCTAAAAAAATAGTCTCAGCTCAAAAGGCCTAATTAGGTTTTCAGTAACTCATGTTCTTGGTCATTAGGACAATCAGACAAGTCAGCAAGCATGCAGTTGCCAAGGCACTAAATCGAGACACGAATCTAAAAGATCACAGGCAACAACGCTAAAAGAAATCTAAAAAGTTTCCTCACTGCTTTCATTAACCTTTTCCTTATGTTTTCACATTTCGGGAACCGGCTCTTCAGACCTATAAAATTGCTCAGC